GGAATTCATTTGTTTAGTCAATTACCAAAATTTGGATGATTTTGAATATTCACTTGAAAAGTTATCAAAGAAAAACATTTTTCATTTTGTAACTTCGAGGGCCCGTTACTTGGTAACGAAGAATTTTAGGAAAAAAAGTTATATGAAGTACTGGTGATATTTTGACCCCATCTATATATTCCCGAGAGGAAAAGAGGAAGTCCAGGGACACTCTGTATACTCTTGGATAGTAATTTTGAATTTTATCGAGTATTTGTGTATCTGCTAATAGGATAATGTGAGTGCTTCCTCTGAGAGCATGTCTAGCTACAGCTAATTCATTGGTTTGGCCAAGGCAACAATTTCTCTTGTGTTCAGAAAGACGGGTGAATATACTTCCTTTCGTGGTTCCAATGTAAACCGACCTGTTGCTACAAAAAATTCGGCAGCAAAAGTGATACGAATAAAAGGTCATGAATAATAAGTTGATAGATTATTCGGAGTCAATAAAGTATTTGTATGGATGGTATTTGACACAGTTGATCATAATATTTTATTGAGAAAATTGAATAGTATTGGTATTCGGGGGATTATTCATAGATGGTTCGAAAACTATTTATCTTACAGAAAACAATTCGTTTGTTGTCTAGGAAAAAATCATCCATAGATGGTTTGAAAGTTATTTCTCTCACAGAAAACAATTTGTTGTCTGGGAAAAAATACCAGTTCATATCACTTTAGGTGTTCCACAAGGGTCTTTTTTGGGTCCAATGTTATTTTCCATATACATAAATTCTGTTTATAAATTACTGTTGAAAGGAAATATTAAGTTATACGCGGATAACACAACATTACTTTAATTTTCTAGTGATATTAAACATGTTTACAATAACATTATTAATGCCATTATATTGCTATCCTCTTTGTTAAAGTATTATAAATTAAGTTCAAATTATGGAAAGTCTCCTTCAATGTTGATAACTAAAAACAAAATCGCTAATGAAGAGAATTTGGCTTTTAACAACAAAATGAATATTATCAAAATACAATTTTTAGGACTATATATTGATGAAAGTCTCTGTTAGAATACTCATATTGAGTTGTTAAATAAATTGGACCAATTTTAGGAATATTATTTAGGGTTAGAAATTTCATTCGATTAAAATATCTCAAGTGTATAGGTATATTTCTGTTTAGTATATTCAAATCTACAAAATTTAATTTCAATTTGGGGAACAGCTAATTTGTCGATAATAAATCCTCTCAAGAGACTGCAAAATGAAATAATGAAATGTGTATTCAAATCAGCATATCTTGAAGCTACGTCAAATTTATATATACCACATGGTCTTTCAGATGATATTCAGTCCATTTTTCAATTGAAAATTTATTGTTTCATTTATTCTGCTAGAAAAAAATCTCCCAATTCCGGTCTGTGACATTTTCAACACAAGGAATAAATGCTTTTTCCTTAACGTGCCTAGCCGGGATTACTTTGCTGCTCTCTCTTCTGGGTCGTATAGCTCGTTGAATTCTACTTCTCTCTACCCCGTTCACTTTGAAGGCATTTTTGAGGTGATTGAGTTCCTCAAAGGAAATTTTAGGTTCAGAGATGCGTTGTGATCAACGTTCAAATTGCACCTCTATTCGTCGCGGCTGGTGGTTAGAGTTTTCATTTAGTTACCTGTCTCTCGTTCCATTGTGAAATGGAGTTTGATCAAGAGAAAAAAAGTTATGATGATATAGAACTAGAGACACACTTGAATATTGTAGTTTATGCGTTGAGAACATTGACCTTTACTTCATTGCTTTTATAATGTCTACGATAGTAGTACACGAACGTTAATGCTAAATACCTGTAGATCGCGGCCAAAAAACCCGGAGAACAGCTTTGACGCAATTATATTATGACAGTAACAAAAAAGAAGAACTTGATGTGGTAATTTTGAAACATATTGTTATACGTAAAAAAGTACACACATTTTTATATTCAAAATAATACTGTTAGTACCAACCTGGTGCTGTCAATAAGCCTTGCCCAATAGCTTCCGCGATAAACTTGTAAACATTTTCTTTTTCCAGAGCTTTCGGATGATTCAATATTATTTCTAAATGTTTTGGTTCCGATATGAGGTATATCAGCTTGGGGCCTAACCATATCCTTGTCAGACCTGATGATACCTTCTGCTGTATCTTCACAAGGGTTTTTATTATGTCTGAAAATAAGGATATATTTTTGATTCCATCCACCTAAAATTATTCTTTTAGGAAATCTACTTTCATGGTTATATGGTGCCGAGAAGGGGAACCGTGTGTACAAAAACATTATTCTCCTTTTAAACAATATGGCATGAAAGAATAAAACAAAATTCATAAGCCAAAGAAACGTTCAAAACAGATATTCCAAAATGCAATTCATTGCAACTGGGAATTGATGAAAGTAACAAAGTAGTTAAACTACCTGTCAATGGAATATAACAATTGGAAGATATTTGATTGGTAAATTTGATCATAAAATTCTGTTAAAATAAGGGAAGTTGTCACCATCATATTTGTTTAGATAAAAGAAAATGTTTGTTTGAAATTTACCCACCCAATAAATTCATCATACAAGACGCAATAAACTTACCTGTTCCGTTACCCAGAAATAGGTATCCACAACCGATCAATGGAAATGAAAAAGGGCCCTCTACTTTCCAGGAATGTATGTACAGATATCTTCTTTTCCACAAAAAATGGGCATACCATGTAAAGAAAACCATGATTAGACATGTTGTGAGATAGCTTCGGATTCCATTTCTTGGATCTTGCTCAATGGGGAGGGGGTGGTTCATTGCTACCGAAAGATTTATCAACTTCACTAGCTATAATATTCCTGAAAGATTTCAAAACAAATATTTTAATTACAATGTATCAGGTTTGTCGATGTTAATCGTTCTGTAGTGCTAAAATCTTCTTGTCATCCAGGTCTCAATATCCGTTTGGCAAAGCCCAAAGCGATGTCAATGACATGTTCTGGTCCGATGAAGCAACTTGTAGCACCCTTCTTTGCAAGGGAGTCAGCAGCTTCATTGCCTTCCAGGCCAGTATGGCCAGGAATCCAGACCAGAGACAATCTGTCAAGTCTTCCTGTTGAGGAGAGTCGTTTTTGGCAATTTGCTACCAATTTAGACGTTGCTTGGTGAAAGCCAAAAGCTTTCAATGCCGCTTGACTGTCCGAGAATTTTTTTATAAACTTGTGTATGAGGTTCCAATCTTTCCGCACACAATTCAATAGCTTAAATTTCCACTTGAAATACAGTCTCATAGGTTCCTAGGCAGGTTGATATCTCTGTCCTGGTTCTGCGACTAAAAACACCTGCACCAGAACCGGAAGGTGTTTTTGATCCATCTGTGAACCAACAACTATCTGCTCTCGGAGGATCCAGTTCTCTCTACTCGGGAACAGCACTTTATAAGGCAGTTCGTAGTTGACAGTTAGAGGCATAGAGAGTCAGTTTTAACTCACAGTCTGTTGCACTCTGCATTAAATCGATTTGTGCAATTGACAATGTGCACAAGTATACAGGGTGTAACTGAATAAGTGTAAAACATTCAAGGAGGTGATTCTTCATCGAAAAAAAAAACTTTCATATAAAGAAACGTCATTGGAGCATCCCTTGTTAAGATACAGCCCCTTAAAGGGGCTACATAAAATTACAATTTTATGTACCCCCAATTAAAGTACAATTTTTTTCACAAGCACTGAAAAAGTTACAATATTGAAATCAACCTGACGTTTTGTACTACCAAAAAGACACTTAGCCAGTAATTCATTTGGTTTACCCCATGGTTGTGAGGGGTGGAAAACGCAACCCCTAAAATTAATTTCCAATGTAACTTTTTGTCTAATTATTTGTTTACCATTTTATGTATCTCTGTAGTTGTTCATAAAATAATTTTTTGCTGCGAACTGGTTTATTTTGGGCAAAAAACCCAAGAGACATTTTTCATTCAGAATGAAACAGGCTATTGGAAATAATTTTTTAAATGGTAAACAAATAATGAGACAAAAAGTTACATTGGAAATAAATTTAAGGGGTTGTGTTTTCCACCCCTTACAACAATGGGGTAAACCAAATCAATTTCTGGCCAAGTGTATTTCTGGTAGTACAAAACGTCAGGTTAATTTCAATATTGTAACTTTTTTAGTGCTCGTGAAAAACATTGTTATACAAATTTTATGTACCTCCTTTGAGGCGTTGGATCTCAAAAAGGGATGCTCCAATGAAGATTCTTTACATAAAAGATCTTTTTTTCGATGAGGAATCACCTCCTTAAATGTTTTACACTTATTCAGTTACACCCTGTATATGTAGTCCATCAAGCCTCTCTCTCCAGAAAAATGTGAAGAGGAGGTATGTAACATGAATAAATCGGGCATTATTGGAAAATCTGTTTGATGTGAATTATTGCGAAATGAATTTTCTTTTCTTTATTGAAAAAATTTTCACAATCGGCTGAAAATACAAAGAATATTCAAGATAAAAATTTGCTGACATTTCAAGTTTGCTTTTTTTATGCACCAGAGTGAACATAAAAAGTAATGAAGATTTGGTATGGTGTTCCATTTTTGAGAACCAAAACAAATTTCATCTCAAAAACCTCCAAAATAATTCTTCAAAATGGATATTGAAAAGTTGGAAAGTTGTCAGAAAATATTTTAGAAACTTACCGTGTTGTCTTTTTTTTTATTCATTACTTTGATGTTCATATAGATTTAGAAAAGTCACAAGCTTTACCTTTTATGAGTTCACCACTTTTCATTGAAATGAAGGAATCACTCACGAGCACATGCTGCAAGATATTGACAATAATGGTTTTTCAGTTAGACGGGCAAAAATCGATCCCTTTCTATTTTCTTATCGATTTGAAACGTAATAGGAACCTTTGAATCGTATGCAGTGTGGTTTCGGTATTCAATGTTATTATTCTTGCGTTGCAAATAATTAAATCTGAGATAGTTGTTACGCAAAGTTCCTTCATTATCCAATCCAAACCCGATGCAGAATGAAGAAATTATCTGTCTACGGGGTGTTGGATCAAGACTCTTTTTTATTTTTGGATTTTGGTTTCATTCAGTTATTTTGCAGTAATAGCTGCAGAGAAAAACAAACATCATTTCATTCGGCTCGACTATGATACACACTGGCACAAGGCACACTTGTTTTTTTTTGAACGAGCAAAATTTGAGATTTCTGTCGATTCCATAGATGACGTCTTCGTAAGGAAAAGGATCAATGCTGTATTGCTTATCGTTTCATAAATAAGCCACTATTTCTCGAGGATAAAAAATTTTCATTGTGGGTTATCCCTGAAAGATAGATATATACCATCGCGGACTTTTTGTTTACCTAGACCTATGGTACATGTTTTGATTTATCTCGTAGGGTTCAGCCAGCGTTTGCAATGTAAGCGCAAAAAAATTATTTATTTACATCACATTAGAAACCTCTAAAATCATCAGTGT